CCTTTTTCATTCCAATTTTCCTTTCTTTATTATTTCTTTAACGATGTTCGAAGATTCCAATCGATATTTCGTTGGAATCTCTCCCTGAAAATTCTCGAATCATCCTTTTCCACTCGAATTTTCTTCTCTTTATTAGATATTAATTAACGAAAATTGTTCGATGTTCGAAGATTCCAATCGATATCTTGTTGGAATCTCTCCCTGAAAATCCTCTTTCGAATCATTCTTTTCCACTCCAATTTTCCCTCTCTTTATCTCTTAACGAAAATGTTCGAAGATCCCAATTGATATCTCGTTAGAATCTTTTCCTGAAAATCCTTCTTCGAATCATCTTTTTCTCTCTTTTTATTATATTTATATTTCCTTAATTCGATGTTCCAATCAATATCTCGATATCTCGTTGACCATCCCGTTCCTCGAAAATGGCATTCGCAAGAGGCCATTATCCATTATCCAAACCGAATAGAACCTAAAAATTCTCCTTCGAGTTATCCTTTTCCATTCAAATTTTCCCTCTCTTCATTATATATTTCCTTAACGGAAAATTCTTGGAAAATTCGAATCGATATCTCATTATCCATCCTGTTCCTCGAAAATGGAATTCGCAAGAGGCCATTATCCACTATCCAAACCGAATAGAACCTAAAAATTCTCTTTCGAGTTATCCTTTTCCATTCAAATTTTCCCTCTCTTCATTATATATTTCCTTAACGGAAAATTCTTGGAAGATTCGAATCGATATCTCTTCCCGTTCCTCGAAAGCGGAATTCGCAAGAGTCGAGGTGAAATATATTCCTGTTGTGTAAACAGGTAAGGTAACATCATTTCTCTCCAAGAAAAGCGGGAAGAGGGAAGAGAGGTAGGAAATTGATGGTAGGAAAAGCGTGAAATTGAACGAAGGACGCGCTTTATCGAGGCGGCGCGACACGGCCCTGGGCCCCGCGGAAGGACTCACTCGTCCATCGTGGCCGACGTGACTGATGCCCCGCTACGGTTCCTCGTGACAGAGCTTGGGGATAATCCTTAATGCGATAATCCACACCGGCGAGGGTACACCGTTAACGCAGTGTGCTTTTAACGTGAAATCGATGGAGGTCCCGAGGGGAGAGATATACGGCGGCTGCCACAAGTTTCCCGCCCGATAAACAGGATTTCGAATGTGTTAATATGTCGCGGAGGTTATTTGATTTAACTCGCAACGATCAAGTTGTAGAGTCGTTTTAATCAACGACGATGACTTGAAAAGAATCATTGTGGATGATTGTTCGATAAAAGATACACGGCTACTTTGTCAAAAAATAGGATTCGAGTGAAAATTATTGCGACAGTTTTGCATGTTATTAAAATTTACGCTCCATTGAGATAGGATCAGCTCGAAAGATATCCAGTTTCTACTGCATGCGTTGCTGAATTGAATTAAGCAATTTATGTGAAAAAAAAATGATAATACGATAATTTTTTAACACTGTTCAATGTTACGCGATCTTCGATTCATCTTATTTACAACGCTCGCGAAGGAAATAAAACTGGTTAAAAGAAGAAGACGGAGGAGGAATAAGCGAGAGATAAATAAAAATCTGAATATACATGTCTCTTTTCCCGAGATAAGCTATTTTATTGAGCTGATGAACGATGATGGAAATTGCATTAGCGGATGTTGAGTAAACAAGGAAACAAGATGATGGAAAAAGCCGGACGATCGAGAGATTTTTCGATGCGCAAAATGATTAAATTGCAGGTATTTAAGATATCGGTGATTGGTTATCGCAAACGGAACGATCCAAGAATCTCTCGCTAATTTCGCGCGAAGAAATTCTCGTCCGGCTCGCGAGCCGGACGAATGCAAGACGCAAGAGTCGAGGAATGGGCGAACGTGCGGAATAAGTAGAAAAAATGAAAATTACAAACTCAGCCAATGCGCTATTGACGTAAGTAATGCGCGTACGTGCACAATTCACAAGCGTTATTGCAATTAATATTAAGATTGGCTGGATAGGCGTGCGTGGATAGGATATTTTACGGTTTATAGGCACCGGGATGATTAAGGTCACGCGTGAAACAATGGGACACTTATTCATCGAATTGAATTCTCATTAAACGAATGGGCCGAGTTTGAATGAAAATCAATCGTTTGTTAGAAGAGATACCATTGAAATTTGCATTGGGAAGGGTAATTAATTTATGGAAATGGTAACGGTACAACTTTCTCCTTGACGAAGTATGGTGGTATATTCGCTTTTGGAATCCTCAGAAAAATCTAACCTAAGAACAGCTCGAAGCGCTGCCTCAAACTGCTTGCCCTATGAACCTGAGCCATTGTATTATTATTAGGATAAGAGCTCGAGGGTTTCAGGCCATTGAGAATCTTCGTGTGACCTTTCCAAGATGAACTCGGAACGATAAGGTGTATCATTGCGATCTCGCAAGGATCGTAAAGATTTTCCAATTAAATATTTTCGACAATGCGCGCAGATATAATTTATAGAAGCGAATCTTTTTTCAAAAACTTCCATTACCGCGCATTGGCATCGGAGGCGTAGGTAAGATGGAAAACGACGTTTATGAAGAGGAAATTACAGCTTGTTAAGGGGCGGAATCCTTTCCCTGCAGCGTACATCAAATGTAAGACGATACGTATATGAAGAATCTTTATGACTCGGCAAACGAGATATTACGTTATCTAATAACGTTTCTGTATATATCGTAGCGTATCATTACATCTGTTTCTTACGAAAAATTAATGATAACGTATCGAGTTTTTATTGCAAAATTCTTTGTTATTCATAGATTTTCAACATAGATTCTCTGCAAACACTGTAAATCTAACGTAAATTATTTTCATCTCGCGACGATTTTATTAAACATATTTCTTTTTTAGTATCTTTTCCGTCAATCGATAATAATCTTTTTTTTAGATTTATTTATTTCGATTTTCGTGTTTGAATAAAAGATTTTTAAAAAGATTTCGTCAAGTGACGATAATTTTGAATGGATACCGTTATGCGAACAATGCTCGGAATCGAAGCCAACACGAATTTTCGTGCGTTCATTTCTTATGCAGGCATCGAAGTCTCCAGTTGTTTACGGCGCGATATTTCGCGCTAATAATTTTTGCGAATAAATTTGTAAAACGAGTTAGAGATCGATGGTAGAAACCGTTGCTAATACCGTCGTTAAAAATCATAAAGATCTTAATTGAAGATAAATCGAATATATCACGTATCAATTTTTTTTTTATTTATTTATTCGTTGCTTGCAAATTGAAAAATGTAGATATCGATGAAATTTATATTGATGTGCGTTTAAATTTCTACTTTGACATTTTGAATAATTCTTTTTCTTTTTCGATATTTTTTTCTTTTTACTTTAACGCTACACATTATTAACATTATTTCCGTTTTACCGTTACGAATCCATCGTGTTAAAATTCACATACGTTGACACATGTTGCAATTATCCATAATCGTATACGCTTTTGCATTTAAGATTTTGTAGTCCGCCCATCATCAGCGTGTACGGTAGTCGATAAAGATAATATTAAAACGTGACGTTATAACGAGATTTTAAGTATAGTGCGTTATATGCCTCGGTTCGGCTATCGTTCGGCGCCATGTTGAAATCAGAAGTACAAGGTTTGCGGTTGAACCGCTGCGAGAATCGGTTATTAAAGTCCTCGTGAAATGCGGGCCACACGTAAGACAAATTTTAAATTGCAAATTAATCCAATTTGTCAGATCGACAATACCAGTCAAATAACACCGATTTAACCACACGTTTTACGATGATTCGGCATGCGAACCGATCAATCCTTGTTCGCACATACGCAACCATACATATCTATCTATTCTATCTGGATGCGATTTGCTCGATACATATTGAAAATTCCCATAGAAAATTTCGATCTCCCAGAAGATTAATTTCGTTTCACCGAACGAATTATCACGATCGTTTCCACGCGTGCAATCTTTCTCATTCGATCGAAACTCATCCGTAAATAACGTAACGTTGTAGCGCGAGGACAATTTGCACGAACAGCTAGAGCAATCATTTCTGATGACACGGTTCAATTGAAAACGGTATATGCACGTGACCGAGTAGATCGGATGGAAACGGAGGTGAAGATACCCGAGGTCTTTGCAACACAGTTGCAAAGGGGAGAGATGCGAATCGTAATGCTACGTAGTGGAATAATGATTACACCGAGAGAGAGAGAGAGAGAAAAAGATTGAATTACATATAAAGTTGTAAATTTTCTTCCAATCACTCGATATGTCCATCCGTGGAAATTTGAAACTTACTTTTCCAAGCTTGTTTACACAAATGTGTAAATAAAATATTCATCCGCGATTCCCCGTTTTTTATGCTTTCTATTTTACGCGTCTCGAGATCCGGGTTATAAGGTTAAGTAATTGAAAAGCAATACCTTGGAAAACTCGAAAAATTTCTATATAAACTCTATATTTTCCATCGATTTATCGATGCTTGGATACTTATCCAACCAATATACAGAGGCGGTCGAGAACGTTGTTTAAAAATTCTCAATTTGTACGCAATAATGTAGGGCGTGTTCGTGAACTCGTGGACCACTTGGGGACGGTGCTCTCGGGATCGTTCTCTCGGAAATTGCGTGCAGAGGATGGGCTTCGCCTGGCCCGGGAGGGGATAAGTATCCTGGGATTCGTCATCGATCGCGTTTATTGGAGGACCTTTGGAGATCACAGCGATTCGGGCGAAGATCGAGGAAGAAACGAGCCATCGCGTACACGTACGCGTACACGTGTGTGGTACCGTTGCGTGCACTAGATTCTTACGGGATAATCGTACGAAATCGGTGGGAGGGGAGGGGGAGATCGACCATCTTCTTGCTTCCCCTTCCCTCGTAACGACATGGAAAAAAAATAAAAATAAATAAATAAAGAAAGAATCTCGAACGTCTCGGACGAAGGGAAAAAAAGGTTTGATCGGATTGGAAAATCGGAGAGGTAATTAGAATCGCTTACCGTGAATATCGTTCACGCAGATGTGAAGATCCTCCCGGAAGGTGGGTAGCCCGTAGTTGCACTGGCAGGTGCAAGTGTTGTTAGGAGGAACGAGCCCTGCGGTCGAAGGGCTACGCGTGTAAGGGCTGGCTGTTCCGCTGCTGAGCACCGTGCAAGCCTCCGTGCAGGAACCTGGATAATTTTGATCTTGATATTAAGAAAGAATAAGGGG